TGGCATTATATGACCCCTTTAAAACTCATCTTTGATCCCCAAAATGACATATTTAAAAGTTTTCTCCTTGAAAACAAATTTTTTCATGCCTTAAAATATCTTGAATGTAACTCGACACCCTTGCCTCATTTAGTATGCGCGGTTCTATGAATATGCAGATGAGCCCCGCCTCCACTCACTCCCTCAGCTCAGAGATCCACTGGTTGACGGTCACACGTTGATCTGATTGGTTACAAGGTCGTTTGTGACGTCAGAAACACCAGCAATTTCAAACCGTGTGTTTGAGACTGTCTTTGGTTCACTGCAGTTTTAAGCAGAAAATACTCAGCAATGCTGTCGACTTATGAACTTACACACGGTGTCTTAAAGCGCATTAAAAACACCACATACACACATAAACTACATTAAACGCTGGATTTACACCACAGGGGGACTTGTGAAGGTATAAGTGGAAAAGGTATAAGTACAGATTGCTGCTGCAGATGCTGCCAGTGTAATGAATTAGTTTGACCTTCCCTGTGACCCCATTTACTGCCCCATAATCCCATGCTTTACCCTCTGCAGCTACTGCCTCCATCACAGGCACTGCACCCGGTTCCACTGGAGTTGGTTCTGGAGCTGGAGTTGGTTCTAGCGCAGGGCTTGGTTCCACTGGAGTTGGTTCTGGAGCTGGTTCTAAAGCTAGGCTTGGTTCCACTAGAGTGGGTTCTGGAGCTGGAGTTGGTTCTAGAGCTGGGCTTGGTTCCACTGGAGTGGGTTCTGGAGCTGGTTCTAAAGCTAGGCTTGGTTCCACTAGAGTGGGTTCTGGAGCTGGAGTTTGTTCTAGAGCAGGGCTTAGTTCCACTGGAGTGGGTTCTGGAGCTGGAGTTGGTTCTAGAGCTTGGATTGGTTCCACTGGAGTGGGTTCTGGAGCTGGAGTTGGTTCTAGAGCTTGGATTGGTTCCACTGAAGTGGGTTCTGGAGCTGGAGTTGGTTCTAGAGCTTGGATTGGTTCCACTGGAGTGGGTTCTGGAGCTGGAGTTGGTTCTAGAGCTGGAGTGGGTTCTGGAGCTGGAGTGGGTTCTAGAGCAGGGCTTGGTTCCACTGGAGTGTGTTCTGGAGCTGGGGTTGGTTCTAGAGCTAGAGCGGGTTCTGGAGCTGGGGTTGGTTCTAGAGCTTGGATTGGTTCCACTGGAGTGGGTTCTGGAGCTGGAGTTGGTTCTAGAGCTGGAGTGGGTTCTGGAGCTGGAGTTGGTTCTAGAGCTGGAATGGGTTCTGGAGCTGGAGTTGGTTCTAGAGCTGGAATGGGTTCTGGAGCTGGAGTGGGTTCTAGAGCAGGGCTTGGTTCCACTGGGACGTCTGATGGGAATTCTGGAGCTGACATTAGCTCAGCTGGCTTGGGTTCTGGAGTGGGTGTGAGCTGAACTGGTGTGAGATCTGATGTTGGTTCCAGAGCTAGGGCTGTTTCTGCAGCTGCAGCGACGACGAGTTCTGAAGCAGCAAGAACGTCTACTGGTTCTATGGCCTCCAGAGCAGCATCACTGCCGCTGACCGCTGTCTGCTCGGGTTTCCAGTCCTGGTTCTCCATATCCGCCGGTCCCGGAACCATCTGGTCCAGAACACTGCTCTGAACCGGCAACTGCATCTGGTCTGAGATGGTCTCGCTGACTTCTGCTACAATCCCATTACCATTGACTGGCAAAAGAACACAAGCAGAGGGGAAATAAAGTTTATTAACATGCAATAAACATGCAAACATAATCTTTTGTCATCAGAATAAATTATTTCTTTTAGTTACGAAATCTAAATAAGCCAAAGAGTTCTCCATATTCTTGACCCATTATATAAACTGTGCCTAGAGCAAGTGGGTAAAGGAAATATTTGCTCTCAGATCACATGGATTTAAAGATGCTCTTTGATTGAATGCTTCAGTTTTTCAGCTCATGCCTCAAAGCAAAGCCCTAAAGACGGAATCAGGCATCAAAAATCATATCACAGTCAAATCCATTTATTTGTCTGTAGTCTGAACAGATAAAAGTTAACCACACCCCAAATATAACTTTAAAATGTATAAACTTTGAAATGCATGGCTTTAGCTGAGCTCAGAAACACATACTGTAACAAGGAGTAAATAATTAAAACACACATTCCTGCCTTGCTTTAATGGTTAATATTTATCTTTCTCCAAACACTGATGACGCATCATGGAAGACGCTCTCATGGAAACCCAACAGAAACAGCCTGAGTCTCTCCATCTGAACCGCACACTGAGTGTTTAGCCAGTGTTTATCTTGCTTCATCGGACTGGTTTCATAACTACATTACATACAGGTTACGCATCACAGACGTTAGAACACAAAGATCATTTCACGAGGTCCTTTGCCCATATAATCTTGCTGTCCGCAGTGGAGGGGCTTGAGGAAGCAGCTTCAACTCGAGCTGAGATAAACCCCCCGGTGGGAACAAGCTCAGATAAACCCCCGGTGAACCCCCGGTGAACCCCCGGTGGGAACAAGCTCAGATAAACCCCCCGGTGGGAACAAGCTCAGATAAACCCCCCGGTGAACCCCCGGTGAACCCCCGGTGGGAACAAGCTCAGATAAACCCCCCGGTGGGAACAAGCTCAGATAAACCCCCGGTGAACCCCCGGTGAACCCCCGGTGGGAACAAGCTCAGATAAACCCCCCGGTGGGAACAAGCTCAGATAAACCCCCGGTGGGAACAAGCTCAGATAAACCCCCGGTGGGAACAAGCTCAGATAAACCCCCGGTGGGAACAAGCTCAGATAAACCCCCCGGTGGGAACAAGCTCAGATAAACCCCCCGGTGGGAACAAGCTCAGATAAACCCCCGGTGGGAACAAGCTCAGATAAACCCCCGGTGGGAACAAGCTCAGATAAACCCCCGGTGGGAACACTAATGCTTGGATGAGGAGTGTGGTGGCAAGATGCCTAAATTATGCAGGTGGAGTTGGGGAGGTGGAGGGACGCCAGAACAGCTGATGCCGGCGCGAGGTGAGTGGCTGCTTATACGCTCTGGCGGTTAAATGAAAGATTAGATGGGTTCACTCCTCCCGAAGTTACGTTGTGAACTTCAGTTTACGAGTTCCTTTGCCCATTTAATCTTTAAGCTAATAAGGTTAAGCGTACTTGGCTTGCTGTCCTCAGTGGAGGGGCTCGAGGAAGCAGCGGTCCTGGGGAGCTGTAGGAGGTTTTCAGGTGCTTTACTCATGGACATGTCTTGTGAAAGCCGGTACTCCGCAGTGATGCTCAGGAGTTACTCCTGTGGGAGCTGTATTTGGAGGAGCATGGCCTGGTGATGTTCTTAATAGAGTTTGATGTACCTCGCAGCGGCGTTTATCGACCTGGGTCGTGAGCAAACGGGAGCAGCCTCTGGACTGGAGGGAGAAACGTGGTAGAGATGAATGAATGAATGAATGAATGAATGAATGAATGAATGAATGAATGAATGAATGAATGAATGAGGCATTTATATAGCGCTTTCATTGGTACTACTGTACACCCAAAGCGCTTTACAATCATATCAGGGATCTCTCCTCAACCACCAGTGTGAGCATCCACTGGGATGATGCGACGGCAGCCACAGTACAACGGCGTCAGTGCGCTCTCACACACACACACACACACACACACACACACACACACACACACACACACACACACACACACACACACACACACACACACACACACACACACACACACACACACACACACACACACACACACACACACACACCAGCTATAGGTGGAGAGGAGAGAGAGTGATAGAGCCAATTCAGTGGATGGGGTTCATTAGGAGGCCATGATTGGCGAGGGCCGATGGAGGCAGTGTGGAGGGCTCGTTTTAGACGAACGGGAGGGGACGCACTGCATCCAGATGGGAGAGCCCACGCAAGGCGCGTGCACACACACACACACACACACACACACACACACACACACACACTTTGATACCAACCTTTCTTTTGAAAGCCACGTGTCTAGTATCTGTAAAACTGCATTTTTCCATCTTAAAAATATATCTAAATTACGCCATATGCTCTCATTGGGAAATGCGGAACAATTAGTCCATGCGTTCATGACCTCAAGGCTAGATTATTGTAATGCTCTACTGGGTGGTTGCCCTGCACGCTTAATAAACAAACTACAGCTGTAGCAAAACGCTGCAGCTCGAGTTCTTACCAGAACCAGGAAATATGACCATATTAGCCCGGTTCTGTCAACACTGCATTGGCTCCCTATTAAACATCGTATAAATTTTAAAATATTGTTGATTACCTACAAAGCACTAAATGGTTTAGCTCCCAGTACTTGAGCGAGCTCTTAACGCATTATAGTCCTTCACGTCTATTGCGATCTCAAAATTCCGGCCAGTTGATAATACCTAGAATATCTAAATCGACTGCAGGCGGGAGATCCTTTTCCTATTTTAGCACCAAAACTCTGGAACAGTCTTCCTAACATTGTCCGGGAAGCAGACACACTCTGTCAGTTCAAAGCTAGACTAAAAACACATCTCTTTGACCTAGCATACACATAATACATTATAGACTTCTATAAATTCAATGTTAGGCTGCATAGATTAGGTCAGCCGGAACTGGGAACACTTCCCTTAAATCTTGATGTACTCGCTACATCATAAGAAGAATGGCGTCTACGCTAATATTAGTGTCTTTGTTTATCCCGAGGTTTTCCCGCAGCCTGCCGGATCCAGGCCGTGTCCAGATCTGACGAAGGACCTGGACACACACACACACACTCCAGATCTGACGAAGGAGATTCGCCTGGACCCGATGACAATCCAGTGCTGAAGTATCCACTATCCTCTCCCTATGGAGGATCCCTTTCCCACTCTACAGATAAAGCGCTGTTAATTCCGGCTCGCGTACCCCGAAGTGATAAAATAAAACAAAATTCTGTATCAAAATTTATAGGCAAGAAAAGTAGTTTGTTTAGGCTGGGTTGTATGAATTACAAACCTGCGCACATATTTTAAAAA